CACCCCTTTTTTTTCTCGGAACCGGGGGTTGAACTCAGGCCCTTGTGCTTGGCAGGCAAGCACTTATTCTACTGAGCCATCTCCCTGGAGCTGTCATGGCTCTTATACTTCAACAAGATACATGTTTTGTGAGATGTGATCAACAGCCACAATAAATTTTTAAAATTTATCACAATAAAAAACATTGTTGGGCTGGCCAGAAAGCTCAGCAGACTAAAGCACCTGCTTAGGCAGAGCACAATGGCCGGGGTTCAATCCCTGGCTTGTCATCTCCGCAACCCCCAGAAGGCGATTACTGGGTGTGGTGGCACACACCTGTAATCCCAGCGCTTGGTAGGCTGAAAACAGAATCACCACTCATCCGATCTATGTAGTGAAATCCTGTAGACTCTGTCCTAAATACATTACATTGAAAAACCAAAAACTAAAAAATGTTATTTATACCCCTTAAAATTTTTTTACTGTAATTATTAAAAATTTATACATTCACTATATTTTTCAGTCACTTGTTGTATGTATATGTACAGAATGTGCTTATATGTGTTGTATCTCATTTACTTAAGTTTCAAATTTTTGGGGTTGATTTTGTACTGAGAACTCAGGACCTGCCTTCAAGACAGGCACTGCGCCACTGAGCTGTGTTTCTGGTCCTTACTTAAGTTTTTGAGTATGCTATACGTTCTCATGGTTAAAAATCTAAAATTTACAAGAAGGGGTACAGTGGTAAATTTCCCGTACCTCTGTCTTTCTCATTGTCTAGTTATTCATAGCCCCTGCCTCAAATCTACTGGTTTTTATTTTGTTTTGTTTCGTCTTTTGGCGGAACCGGGGATTGAGCTTAGGCTCTTGCTCTTGCCAGCCAAGCGTTTATTCTACTGAGCCATTTCCCCGGCCATAACTACTAGTTTTATGTGTAGGATTTTGTTTTCCTTCATTGTTACACACCTTTGCACCTGTTTTACACTTAATTTGCAGATTATTCTGTATCAGTATAGAACTCCTGCTTACAGCTGAGTAAGGTTTCATAATGTTTTTTATTTTTAACCAGTTCTCTATTATTTGGCATTTAAGCCTATTTTTAGTCTCTTCCTATTAAAACTGGCTCAGCACTGAATAACATTTTGCAAATGCCATTTTACACATTTATAGAATAAAATCCCGAGTATAGATAGTAACCTAATGGTTCTGTGCATATGAATTTGGGTGATGCTTTCCCAAGGGGTCGTGTCCACTGCACAAGGGGTTTGTTCCTCCCAGGCAGCCAGCAGAAGAAAATGCACTCGGGATCGTCACCTCCAAACTGCCTTTTTGTGTAACAAGCAACGTTGTCATTTCAAGCAGTCAGATTATTTTGTTATTGCTGAGACAAAATACCGAACACCCGAGTTAAAGGAAGAGAGGTTTGTCTTGGCTCAGAGTTGGTAGAGACTTCAGGCCATAACTGGCTGACTCCAAGGCGGAAACAAGACAGAGCATCAAAGGGGAGAAACGGTTCATGGCAGGTAGAAGGCAGCAAGTGACAAGGGACCCAAGGCCCTCTTTTTGTTCCTTGTATCTTACCCAGTTTACCCAGGTTATGAGTGCAACTAGCACTCATATCCAGGGTCAGGTAGCCTTCATCCTGCCCAGAACTATACCACACCAATCAGTGGACTGAGTTAGTAATTAGACAACCTCGGATCCCAGCATCACACGCTCCCGATCCAACCACCTCCAAAAGGCCCACCTGTCACTGCATGAGGCTTTTGGGGGGACACAGATACAAGCTGTAACAATGGTGTTGTATGTAGCCACTGTCACTGGGAAAGGGTTTATTTTCTTCACCTTTTTTTTTTAACATGCTTGGTTTTTCAAATAATATGAGTTAAAATTTAATTTTTTTTCCCTTAAAAGATTAACTTCCACCTGTCCCTCTTTGGCAACCCAGAATCTTTCTCTACTCTGAAAATGTTAGTTACAATAGCTGAAGATAGGCAGGCTTCACCAGAGCCACACAAGTTGCATGGGGGTATGTTAGGGGGAGAAAAGCAAACCAAGGGGGAGCCAGGGAGATGGCTCAGTAGAATAAGTGCTTGCCTGGCAAGCACAAGGGTGTGAGTTCAATCCCTAGTTCCGCAAAAAGAAAAGCAAACCTTACACCCTCCTTGCTTTTGACAGTCACTGTTGAGGTAAATTTTTTTTTTTTTTTTTTGGCGGAACCAGGGATTGAACTCAGGCCCTTGCACTTGCCAGGGAAGTGCTTATTCCACTGAGCCATCTCCCCGGCCCCTGTGGAGGTAAATTTAAGAAACTGTCCAATTACCTATTTGCCCTGCCTAAAGGAGGGGAATGTTCTTAGGTCACTTTTCTGCATCTCCTAGGACATGTTCCTTACTGGTTCTGGTTAGAGCCAGCCTTGTCTGGGTCTGAACAGAGCAAATCAACCTGAGTCATACTTACTTTAAATTTGTAATGGCTTGTAGAGAACAGAATCTCCTCTAGCTGCCTCCCCTAAATTTATACGTGTCACATACACTCTGTGTGTGTGTGTGTGTGTGTGTGTGTGTGTGTGTGTGTGTTTTCACCATTCAACTTTCAGGTGTTTTTAAGAGTTCATGTCTCTCTACTCTTAGGTTCTTGGCGTGCTAAGTCAAGATGGAATTATGAGATTTGTCAATATACAGACTTGTAAACTTCTCTTTGAAATCGGAAGCCTTGATGAAGGAATTAGCTCATCAGTAATTAGCCCACATGGTCGGTACATTGCATCTATTATGGAAAATGGGAGTCTGAACATATATTCAGTTCAAGCTTTGACACATGAAATAAATAAGGTATGTTATTAAGGAGCAGCATCAAGTTTATTTCAATATTGTATCATCAAGAATAAAATATTGGGGCCAGGGAGATAGCTCAGTAGAGTAAGCACTTGCCTGGCAAACGCAAGGTCCTGAGTTCAGTCCCTGGTACTGCAAAAAAAAAAAAAGAATAAAATGTTTATGGGCAGGAGGCTCTTAGTTTGGTCCGTGTCCCAGCTATGTTCCGCAACCAGTATGACAACGATGTCACTGTCTGGAGCCCTCAGGGCAGGATTCATCAAATTGAGTATGCAATGGAAGCTGTTAAACAAGGTTCTGCCACAGTTGGGCTGAAATCCAAAACCCATGCAGTGTTGGTTGCATTGAAGAGGGCACAGTCAGAGCTTGCAGCTCACCAAAAAAAATTCTCCATGTTGACAACCATATTGGTATCTCTATTGCGGGTCTTACTGCTGATGCCAGACTCTTATGTAATTTTATGCGACAGGAGTGTTTGGATTCCAGATTCATATTTGACAGACCACTTCCTGTGTCTCGTCTTGTATCTCTAATTGGAAGCAAGACCCAGATACCAACACAGCGGTATGGCCGGAGACCTTATGGTGTTGGGCTGCTTATTGCTGGTTATGATGATATGGGCCTCACATTTTCCAGACCTGTCCATCTGCCAACTATTTTGACTGCAGAGCTATGTCTATTGGAGCCCGTTCTCAGTCAGCTCGTACTTACTTGGAGAGACATATGTCTGAATTTATGGAGTGCAATTTAAATGAACTGGTTAAGCATGGTCTGCGTGCCTTAAGAGAGACACTTCCTGCAGAACAGGACCTGACAACTAAGAATGTTTCCATTGGAATTGTTGGTAAAGACTTGGAGTTCACAATCTATGATGATGATGAAGTGTCTCCATTCCTGGAAGGTCTTGAAGAAAGGCCCCAGAGAGAGGCACAGCCGGCACAGCCTGCACAACCTGCGGATGAACCTGCAGAAAAAGCTGATGAACCAGTGGAACATTAATAAACCAGCCTCTGTGTGTATTATCAAATACGTAAGAATGCAGGAACACACTGATGATAGTAATCTATACTTTGAACCCAAAGATGCAGAGTGTGGAGTGGTATGTTTTAGGAATCAGTCCAGATATGTTTTTTCCAACCAACCTCCCTGAAACCATATAATGAGGTGCAGTTTTCTTTAAGGGGATCTGTATAATCATTTTCTAAAAAGTACAGATATACCAATGTTTTTATATGAAGAAAATAGTGTCTTTGCAGTTTTAAACACATCTGTGAAATAAAACTGTTTCACTTCAAAAAAAAAAAAAAAAAATGTTTATGTTCTTAGTATGTGCTGACTTCCTTTGCACTTCTTGTTTTTCTTGTTCCTGAAGCCATATCTGCTGCTGCGTTGTGCTTCTTACATTGCTACCTTCCGAAGGACGTCTGTCTGGTATCCCAGTCTTATTCAAGATGTCACTCCTGATCTCTTTCTCCAGAGAGCTTTTCAAACCCGTTTCATTTCTGACTCATTCTTTCTTCCCATCCTAGAGACTGTAAAGCTCCATAACCATTTTTATTGCTTTATTTCCTAAATCTAGTTAATTCTAAGGTGTGATTTCTTAAATTGGCAGTACCTATATATGTGCTGCCTCTTCTCTGTCTCCTTAGTACCCTCCCTGTTGGTCGTCATGAACTAACTACTCCTGAACCACAGTAGTGTATTCACTCCACCTTCTACAGTACATTTTCCTAGAATAATGCTTCCAGCCAGGTGTGATTGCACATTTGTGTAGTCACAGCGACTTGAGAGGCAGAGGTGGGAGGATCACTTAATTCGCAATTGGAGCCCTGTCCAGCAGTCTAGGTAGACTCTGTCTCATAAAAACACAACAAAAACCAAATACTGTACTGCAGTGCCTGAGTTCATGAACACCTGTTTGTGCATAACTCGGTTCACAAACTGAAGCTTTTGGCAAATTTTGCTTCTGTCTTAAATCCACATGAGGTGAAGAACATGACCATAGCAGTCTTCCCTAGAATCATGCAGTGAATTAAGTTCATGAGAACTGAGGTGCCGCTGTAAAAGTAAAAGAATGTTTTCATCATGTCTTAAGTAGTCCTACTTCAGTGGCTTCCTTCCTTTTGCCTGTTGCATTCAGTCTAGACTCTTCTCCTTGGTTCTCATATCTTCTCTTCACCTGTCTAGTGATCTAACTTACTTCCCCATACATATCTCTCATCATCCCCATAGATACCATTCTCCTTCATTTCTTTTCTACATTATTTATTCCATCTAAAATACAGCTTGCATCCGTCTTCTGTGGTTGCCTGAAGTTCCCCTGGCTAACAAGTTAGATTGTGCGCAGCCTTGCTTGGCTGGGAGTGTGCCGTGGGGTGCCGACAAGGACTGACGAGAACCTGGTCTAGGCCTTTCAGTTTTGCAGAGGAGCAAGTGCCGTGCACCCGCCCGTGCACCCAGCTAGGCCAGCAGTCGTGGCAGTGCGTGTTCTAAGGCTTCATACAGTGCTTGTTGTTTTTTTTTTTTTTTTTTACAGTGCTTGTTTTTATTGTATTTTTTTCCTTACCGCCTCTTTTTATACACATATGTATTGCTTCATTTCAGGAAGAAAAAAAAAAAAGACACAGGTAAATAGGTAACTTGCTTAATGTCCACATTTTCAGATGATTCTGATGCATATATCCCTGATCTTTTATGTGTGTGTAAATGTATGCATCCACTCATTTGTAGTTTTTGTATTTGAGAATTTGCCTACTCACTAAAATTCATGACCTTAAAATGTATATTGTATTCTGCTAACCTGTATGAATATAAATAAATACTTGGAGTGCTTTCACTGTTATTCATAGACAGTGTATTAAAAATTGAGTCACTCTGCCCTTATTTCCAGATTAAGTGGAACAAAGAAACACTTAGCTTTTTTGTTTTAGCTCTCATACTATAATTTAGAATCCTTTGTCTTATTTTTAATGAGGAGGGATTGTTTTGTTTTGGGGGAATTTTTTTTTTTTTTTTTTCATCTTTAGTCTTTCTGTGATTTTACTGTTTAAAATGACCCTGAGCCTGGTGCTGAAGTCTTATGTTCCTAAGCACAGGAAGGCTGGGTTGTACCTTACATGAAAAGGCACTGCAAAAAAACTCATTTAGGCATGAGTTGCAGTTCAGTGATAACAGACCTGTGATTTAGGGCCAGCCAAATAGCTCAGCAGATTAAAGCACCTGCAAGGAGGCACAGGGACCAGGGGCTCGATCTGGGCCTGCTGTGCCAGCGCTGCCTCCGGGGCGCACTGAGACGGAGATTGAGCCTGGGCGTGGTGGCGCAGCCTATAATCCCAGCTTTTAGGAGGCTATAAACAGGCGGATCACTGTGAATCCTATCTAGTAGTAAGACCCTGAATACCCTGTAGACCCTTCCCTAAAATAAAAAGCAAAACAATGATTTATATTAAGAATATCTTCAAGCAGAAACACCTAAAGCTAGATTATATATTAACCAATTGACAAAAATGTTGTATACATTGACTCATTAAAGTGATTCTGTCTCCTCTTGAATCAATGATTCAGCATTTACTCAGTGTTTGAGTTAATTCTGTAGAACTAGTGTGAATAACAAAAACCAACTAAGTATATATGTTTGTGTATAAATTTTATGTATTTGGTACAGGGTCTCACCACACAGGCTGAACTTGTAGTGATCTTCCAGTCTGAGCCTCCCCAGCGCTGGGATTATGGGCTGGGATTACGGGCTTGCGCCACCACACCTGGTTTTGGTGGCCAGCTTGGCATGCCCAGGGCAGGGCTAGCACGGTATGCAGTGTCGGGGACTGAACCAGAAATATGTGGCTCTTTATATGTATACAGTTTCCCAAATGGGATTGTACCCTGTTTTTATTTACATTGTTGTATATTTATACGTAATTGTATATAGCTTTATGAAATATTTGTTATATTTTTTAAAAAATCATTAATATATTATCTGCTGCTCTTAAGAAAGGCTCAGCTTCTCCAGTTGATTTTATTAGCTAAGCCTTCTTAAAAGAGATGGGGAGAATGGCCGGCAAGCTAGCTCAGCACACTAAGTGCCTACTTTGGCAAGCACAGAGACCAGAGTTCAATCCCTGGTCTCACATGCCAGGCTAGCCCCGCCCTGGGGCGCACACCTGTAAATCCAGCGCTGGGGAGGCCGAAAACGGGAGGATCACTGTGAGTCCGAGCTAATTAGTGAGACCCTGTACCAAGTACATAAAAATGAAAGAAAAAGAATAGAGGCTGGAAGAGAAATGAGGAAAACCATGGAAACAATGAGTCAGACAGTCCCTCTATGTTATTGTTAAGTAAACTGGGAGATCATATTGAAAGGAACAGCTAGCTTACAAGTTGAGTAATCTTGGCTGGGAATGTAACTCTGTGGCAGAGTGCTTGCCTAGCAAGCCTGAGGCCCTGGGTTCAACCCCCAATGCCACAATTTTAAAAGTAAATTAAAAAAAAAAAAAAAGACTTCATAGATTCTGGACGCATCACCTGCACTATCATTGTCATTATAGTTATTTCAGGCTACACAGTGTCCAGCTGTGTATTAAGATTTGGTCTCACTCCAAATCTTAATTCTCCTGTGTTGCTTTTATTCTGAATTTTGTTTTCTTGTTGTTAGAGAATTTCTGATAGGGTGATAATAAACTGAATGAATCCGTATGCTTTGAAAGTTTGATGTAACTTTCAGATCGATCAGATCAGATTCCATCTCAGGTGCTAACTTTCAGGAGATTATACTGAAGGTCCAGGATAAGGTTCAAACAGGCAGGAAAGGCATTAGAGTAGAATTTTTTAAACAAAAATCTAGAATGAAGAGAGCAAATATTCCCAGGCCATTAACAGTGAACAGTGTTTAAGTGAATCCACTTCAATTCCATCATGCATGAGGAATCGGAACTTAAGTGGACATTGCGCCTTAATTATATCTACAGTTCAGAAAGCCCAAGTAATACTATTTACTCATTTACTTTGAAGGAGAGAACTCTTTTTATTTTAAAGTGAAAACTAGGGCCAAGGAGATAGCGCAGCGGCATAAGCATCTGCCTGGCAAACAAAAGGTCCTAAATTGGATTCCTGGTACACAAAAAAAAAAAAAAAAAAGCGAAGTCCAAATATTTTAGGGCCAGCCAAATAGCTCAGCAGATTAAAGTGCCTGCTTAGGCAGATCCAACGGCCGGGACCCTTGGCGTGATGTGCCAGCCCCTCACTGAGTCAGCGATTGAGATTGGGCATGGTGGCTCGCTCCTGTAATCCCAGCACTTGGGAGACTGACCGCATATGGATCAGTGCAAGTCCAATCTAGGTAGATTCCTGTGTAAACACTGTAGACACTTACTAAAAATAAAAATTAAAAAAAGTGAAAAATATTCTAGTGAGTCATTTTACACGGAGTAATTTGAAGGTTTTCTTTCCTTTCAGTGGACCCATACTGACGAGAGTTTGGGTTCTGAGTTGTGCTGTCTCAGCTGCTACACAAGCAGCCATTGCCGTGCAGGTGACAGCTCTCAGCACGGGCAGGAGGAGAGGGTCTGTGCTTCTGGAGGACCCTGATGGGCCGCCGAGGATCTTCTCTGAGCCCAGAGAGCGTTCGGGCGCTTCCTTTGTCCCCCATCACCTCCATGACGCTATTTGTCGGCAGGCATAAAGCTGGTCTGGTATTACGTGACTTAAGGCCAGCTTTCAAGGAGGAACTGAATTCTACTTGTTGCTGTTGTTCAGTCGGATGTTTTTGCTTTTCAGTGCAATTCATGTCTGTATTTTCCTTTTAGCCGCCGCCTCCTCTAGTGAAAGTGATTGAAGATTTGCCTAAGAATAGACTGAGTGCCAGTGATCTTAAGATGAAAGTAACATCGGGCAGAGTGCAGCAGCCAGCGAGGTCTAGCGCAGGCAAAATGCAGACTAGAGTACTGAAACAGGACCTGATGGGCAAGTTTGAAAATAAGGAGGTAAGAAAATATTAGTTATATTATGTGTCACATGTTCTGCCACATGTTGGTGTGATTTCTAGGCTATCATCACTCTTTCTTTTTTTGGCAGAACCGGGGATTGAACTCAGGCCCTTGTGCTTGCCGGGGAAGTGCTTATTCCACTGAGCCATCTCCCTGGCCCCTTCATTCTTTCTTTTGAGATCTAAAGGAATAGTGTATAAAGAGAAGAAAAAAATTATGCCTGGTTACAATGTGCTTTTGAGCTTTTAACATACATGGAATGATGTTGGTGGTTTTTAAAAGTCAGAAAGTACACAGTTGCGCTCTCCAGTGTACCGCCTCTGGTACTGGCGGAGTGGCTCATCTGGATTGCGCTGTATTGTAAGTGTACTTCACACGGTACAGAAAGGGCTGGAAACTCAGGATGAGCAAAAGAAAAAGTCTACTGATGATTTTTTGTGTGTATGTGTGGAACTGGGGATTGAACTCAGGCCCTTGCGCTTGCTGGGGAAGTGCCTGTGCCACTGAGCCGTGTCCCCAGCCATGATTTTTATATTGATTGTATATTGAACTGATACTCTTACATTGGATTCAGTTGTGTTAAGCTGAATTCTTCCTTTTCTCTTTTTTAACATGGATTCTAGAAATTTTGAAGTTATGTTTCTGGCTTATGTTGTATTTCTGTTTTACAGTGCTAGTATAGAGTGCTATAAAGAGAGGAAAACAGAGGGATGTCTTTCTCCTGTTTTCTATTCCATTCATTATTGTGTTCCCTAGAGGTAACCAAGATAGTAGTTGTAGAATTACCTTTGAGGGAAGGGAGTTAATTGAGTTTTATTTTCTTCTTAAATTTTTTTATGTTTTCCTAGTGTTCTGAAAAGCACATATATTACTTTTGAATATGACAGAAATACTAATAGAAAAGTTACTAATGTGTCAAGGAACTTTGAGCTTTTTATTGACAGTAAATGCTGAGTGCAAAGTACACCTGAGTCTACGGTGGATTTTCACCAACTGAACGTCCCCATCTTACCAGGACCTTCCTACTACCTTCAAACAGCCCTCCACCTTACGTCACTGACGAGGGCTTCTGGGGAGGAATGGAGACGCTCAGGGTTAAACGCAGAGCCTGGCTCCTGCAAGCTGGCACTCTGCCACTCAGCTACACCCTCAGCCCTGGATAGCTGCTCTTGATAAGCGTGCAGATTAGTGAAGTGAATAGTCAGTTTTCCTAAGTGGTTGGTTAAAGCAATTCACATTCCCACCAGCAGTATTCAAGAGTTCTAGTTGCTCCATATTCTCAGGAACCTTTGGCATGTATGCTTCACCTAATTTTAATAACTTTTTCATTGAGCATTTCAAATTGTGAACTTGTTTGTACAGAAGAGTATATAAGGCAGATCAGAACTTAATGAAAAAGTAGAAGCTCACACATAATATACAGCATTCAGGCCTCATGGAGTGGCCCAAAGTCCCTCTTCATATTTGGCATGTTGTTAGGGCTCATCACACAGTCATCTTCATAGTTATGACATGGGAAAGAACAGCAGAAACTCAGCAAGGGGAGAAGGCACAGCCTTCCGAGAGTCCACTCCCACTGGGGTCACGTGAATACTTGAGCCTTCCCTCAGTCAGTTGTGACAGCATGCACGAGAAGAAGCGTTGTCTACAAAAGGAAATTACTAGTGATTCTGGACTCGGTGCCCGAGGCTTTGCTGAAGGCTGGTTATGTAAGCAGTCTTTTTAACATGTTTAAAATTTAGTCTCCCAAAGGATACGCAAGCGCTTAACACACATTGTACTGTCTAATTTAGACATGTTCAGCCGTCCTTACTGTTTCTAGAGATGATGGGAACCCTCCAAAAATCTAGCTCCTAGACACCAGCCACAGGTCAGCTTGCAAGCAGGCTTTCTAAGGGTCCCAGACTGAGACCTGCAGTGGTAACTTCTTCCACTGTGTACTCATTTCTGCAGTAAGAGACAAAGCGTTACCGGGAGGTTTGGGGCACCCTCTTTGCTTATTCCCACCATATTTTTCTCTCTACCCTATACATGGGTTTGTTGTCCTCCCTTGTATGTTAATTATGTCCCTAACTTTCTTTTTTATAGCATCTTCATATAAACAAAATATATATATTTTTTTTTCTTCTTTGTTTTTTGATTCAAGTTCTCGCTATGCAGTCCAGGCTGACTTTAACTCACTGTGTAGTCCAGACTGGCCTCGAACTCACAGCAGTCCTCCTTCCTTCACCTCCCATGTGTTGGAATTACAAGCATGCACCACCACTCCCAGCTTAGAAAACAATATGTTTGAAAAACTGAATAGTAAAGAAAATCTAAAATGAAAAAGATTAGGGGCCGGGTAATGGCTCAGTGGAATAAACGCTTCCCTAGCAAGTGCAAGGGTCTGAGTTCAATCCCCGGTTCTGCCAAAAAGGAAAAGAAAAAGATTAGGCAGTGCTGCTGCTGTTTTAATGAGAAGATAAACTGAGTACTGAGTCTTGACCTGGAATTAGCTTTCCCAGGAGTTTATAGGAACCTCTTAGGAAAAAACTAAGGGCGGGGCTGGTGAGATGGCTCAGTGGTCTAAAGCACCTACTTGGAACAAGCTTAGCAAAGCACAGGGACCGCGGTTCAATCCCCCAGCACCACATGCCAGCCAGCCCCGCCCCCTGGTGGGCTGAGCCGGCCACACACACATAAATAAATAAATAAATAAATAAATAAATAAATAAAACTAAGGGCATGATCCTAAGTCACTTATCAGTAGCCAGGATTTCTGGTAGCACTGTAGTATGGATGAAATCTAGATACCCTACAGAAAAATACCAGGGACGGAGGGAGCTTCTGAGGAACCCATGGCCAACCCGGAGGGATCTGTCACTAGTGGAGCGTTTCTGTGGCATGAAATGCATGCCCTCAGTTCTCAGCATCAGTGTGCAGAAGAAAAGAGGAACTTCCTCATCAGCTCATGATAGGACAAAAATAGATAAAATTCAGGCCAGCCTCTCTAGAGCATCCTGTCCTTTATTTAAAAAAGGTTTCAGTGACAATAGCTGTCCCGGTGGTGACAACAGTCCACATGTCTCTCATGAATCACGTCTATGCAAGCTGCGCTAGTTGCCCTCTGTACTGGTGCATGGCACTAAATAGTAATTTTTATTCACCATCATCCTGTGCTTTCCCTTCACACCATTTTGTTTCAGATTTCCCATGTCATGGGGCAAAAGGAGCACAGAAGGATACACAAAATTTGGCCGTTTCAAGTCAAGATTTAGCAAATTTGTGACTGAGCAAATCAGAGAACTCAGTCTCTATCTTTTCTTAAAAGAAAAGGAAGGGGCTGGAGAGATGGCTCAGTGGTCTAAAGCACCTACTTGAAACAAGCTTGGCAAAGCACAGGGACCGCGGTTCGATCCCCAACACCCCATGCCAGCCAGACCCGCCCCCTGGTGGGCTGAGCTGGCCACATACACACACAATAAATAAATGTAACAAATAAAAATAAATAAATATTGAAAAAAAAAGAAAGAAAAAAGAAACGCTTAAAAAAATAAAAAATAAAAATAAAAGAAAAGGAAGATGCACTCCATCTGTTTCATGTAGTTGTTAGCACCCAAAGAGATAATATATGAAAACACCTTTGTGATTCTAAAATTTGTATTTTTCAATTAAGACAACAATTGACTTAAAAGATACAAGGGACTATCGTGAGAAGTTGATGTCTGCATCATCTGAGACACAGAGGCAAACTAGATCAGTTTCTCTGCCTGTCTTGGCTCTCGTGCTCTCATGCGATGGGCTTTTCCAAGAAAAAGGAAGACAGAAAGTATCAGAATGTGTTGCTGTTGGGTCAGAAGCAGGCAAATGACAGCTAGTGGCTTCAGTCAGGTTGTACAAGCCACAAATTGTTTCACATTTTAAAGTGGTTGCATTTGATAGGTATTTACATATCTATACAATATCTTTTTCTCCTTTGTGCGCAATACCTGAGATATTTTGTAATTAATTACTCATAAAAAAAGTTTGCCAAACTCTGGTCTAGGGAAGGTAATGCTGTAATGAACTTCATTTGCTTTCTGTATACTTCATGTTTAAGAGAAGAGAGAGAATGTGAAGTACAAAGTCCAGAGGAAGGAATAATGTTTCTTGCTGTGCGTTGTGTTCTGAGGTTGGAAATCCGCTTTGGACCACATGAACCGTGTTTTGAGTTGCATGATCTTGGACTTACTGATACTGTCCTTTTGCAGAACGAGTTGTCATACGGATTGAACACAAAGCGCTTGCACGTCTTATTAAAAGGCTATGGTGAATATCCAGCGAAGTACAGGTAACATTTGAATTCCGTTGTGTTAAATGTATTTTATTCAAAGAATTTTTTAATGCAAAATTATGCTTTAATTTCAGGATGTTCATTTGGCGCTCTTTGTTACAACTGCCTGAAAATCATACTGCGTTTAGTAGCCTAATAGATAAGGGTACTCATGCGGCATTTCTCAACCTTCAGAAAAAATATCCCATCAAAAGTAGGAAACTACTCAGAGTGCTGCAGAGGTATGTTCAGTGTATTGCAACAATGTGTGTGAAATCTGTAATGATTACAACCCTCTGTCTATAAAATACTGTTTGATCATCTTTGATTATCACTGTGTATTGGTTTGTTTTAAAAATAAGTTATATATGTATTGCATAGATACACTAGTTTGTGTTTTGTTCTAGAAAATATCATTCAGATAATCCAAAGGAACAAAGCAACAAAATAGAAAGAGCTTTGAATTTGAAGACATAAGACCCCACACTTTGCCCCACTGTGCTCCATCTCAACCTTCCCCTGTCAACAAATCACTGTTTTAGTTACTTTCTCGTTGTTGAGACAAAATATCTG